AGAAGAAATGATATATAATCTTAGAAACATTATCTTAAATAAGAGCTTGAAGCATCTATGCAAAGTGTAATATTACATATATATATAGAAATGTTAATAACTAATGTTGTATAAGACTTTGATATAAACTTACAATAAGATCACTAAATAAATAATATTAAGAAACCAAAACATAAAAACTTACTTAAAAATTTTAAATAAAGAGATAGTATGACTTTCATAATATTATTAAACTATCAGAAGCTTTTAAAAAAGAATAACTAGGATAGATCAGATAACAATATATATAGAGAAGAATATACCAACTAGGTTGCTAAAAACTGCCAAAGAAAAAGAATCTTTGAATATCATACTAGGCCATCTGGATTGGTAGTTTGAAAAGTCTTATAGGTTTAGAAATAAGGGGTAAAAGTTGAAAAAAGATCTTAAAATATTATACTAAGCCATCTGAATTGGTAGTTTAAAAAATCTTATAGGTTTAAAAATAAAAACTAAAAATTGGAAAAGAAAGATATTAGGGTTCTAGTGAACTTTACAAGAGTATAGTAGTTTAATGATTAGCTCTAACTACAAGTAATAGTCTAGACTAAAGCAGTATTAGGTTAACTATAAGTATAGGATACAGAAAGCTCTAATAGGCTTAGTACAAAGTTAAATATAATTTAAAAATTATAGCATATTTGCAGTTAATCTGCAGTTAGTAAAATAGGAGTGAATATGAAAACTAGAATGTTTAAATAAAGAACTTACAAGCAGGTTCTAGGTAAGACAACTAGTATAAAATCTTTAAGTAAACTACTTAAAATAGATAATAACTAAAGCTATACAAGTAACTAGTTATATACTTTTTTTAGAATTTTTTTGTAACTGTTATATTTAATAGTTATATGTTGACAAATTACTAATAAACTTCTGTATCATAAGTACTTGCCTTAATATTAAAAAAAAACTAAGAATAATATAATATAAAATACAATAATAAATATATAATGAGGTATGATAACTTAGTAAAATAAATAAGTTATTAATCTCCAAGTAGTAGATTGTAAGTTTAAAACCTATTAATAGTAAAAATTTGAATAATCATTTATATAATATATAAACAATATTATAATAACAGTATTCTGTTAATTAGTTAGAATAGAATATCTATAACTATAGTCATACTAGTATAACTAACAGATTATAAAATATTTGTATAACTAGTTATATAGAAAAATGCAAACTGATAATAAGCAGTGTAAACTCAAGATAAGTTTTTGTAATTGTATAAATCTGTAAAACTAAAAAGCTAAAACCAACTTGAAAAGACCTAAGTAGAGAAGTAATATAGATCTTTAACAGTACTATTATAAAGGCTAGATCTAGAAAATAAATATTAATTAGATAGACAAAAAACTCAAATGAGAAATACTACTAACCAAACTACTAAAAATCTTAAATTAAAAGAAAAGAATATTAAATATTATAACTTTGATATACTAAAGTTCTTTTAGGCTATTTGTATTAGGAATTTTATAACAAAAGCAAGATATACTATAAGTACTAGGAATATGCTGTGAATGTGAAATTAGTGCTGGGGTCTGGGTGAACTCTGCAAGAGTAAACCCTATTAACAAGAACTAAATATAAGTAGTTAGTTAGCAGAAGAACTTTCTGAAGCCTTATAATCAGTTAATATAATTTTTTTTTAAAAAAATAACTATAATATACTGTATATATTTTCTATATTAAGATAACTTTTTAAACTATAAATTTTATTAATAACTTTAAACTATAGTTTTTTACTAAAGATTTTTAATATTTAGTACAGAAATAAAAATACAACTAACTATATACAGTATTTAATTTTTAATTGTCTAATTTAAATAGTCTATTTGAAGATTCTTTATTTAAATTTTCTAATCTATTATTTTTTTGCTAATTTTTATTAATTTTATTAATCCAACTTTTTATATTCTGTAATCTTAAAATTTAATAATTTAATTTGTTATTATCTTTAAAATAAATTTGTTAAAATAGTTTATATCTCATATATATATTATCTAGACTTTGGTAACTTATATAGTTATCTAATATTTGCAATTAAAATGGATCTTTAAACTACTACTATTTACTTTCGTTTTTATAGGGGCTATCAATTAAATATATTTTTTATCAATATATTTAAGGGGTTGATATTGCATATAACTTTATTGCAACATTATATTGTTATTATGTCGTTATTTTTATATTTAAACAATGCATCAAATATACTGATTTCGTGCGCATCTAATGGATCCGATTCACATGTGCAATATAATTATTCAAGATGTCATTTTAGCGTAGTACAGCTTGATCTTCTATTAATCAATGTCTTTTACTTTTTATTTGGTGGCAGACTTTCAGTGTATTGTTTATGTAAATAAATGAATCTCTATAATAGTTTAGTTTAATACTAAATATTAAAGTGGCATAGTATTTTTTATTATTATACGTATTCGTTTCAATTTTGTGCACAACTATAAACCGGAACGAATGTGGCGTAGAATAAGTTTTTGATATATAAAATCTTAATTCTGATAATTATCTATATCTTTAACGATAATATTTTTCAATATATCAAAAATTTACATATTTGTCCTAGTTTTTGGATAAATATACATATATATTTGTAGATTATCTTATCACTAAGTATTAATTGACAAATATCAAATAACAATATGTATTATATCAAATAACAATAGGCATTATATCAAATAACAATAAGTATTATATAGAGGGAAACTCACTTCTAATCTAAGAGCATGCACCTAAACCACTGATAAGCTTTTTTTTTTATGAATGAAATTATAGATTAGATCTAAAACTTTGATCTAAATGGATTAAGAATAAATACTATAGGACAAAACTAATATAAACTCATGGAAGCTTAATTGTCTAAATTATATATAGTTCAATGAAGCATTATAAATATCAGCATTATTACATTTATAACTTTAAAAAAACGTACGTACGTACGTACAGTACTTCTAATTTTATGATTGATAACCATTGGCCATGATACACAGTTACCAGGGATTGTTCAAGAGCTTTATTTTTAAATTAGAGTACTCGTGGTTACTGTGCAAGGAATCGGGTGCTATATTTGGGATAGTTTATATAGAAAATAATTAAAATATAATTTATGCTCGTGAAATTATTTGGATTTAAACCAGATGAGTTGTAGTACATGCTCTTATCGATATTACATTTTTATTAAGCATATGCTTCGTTAATGATAAGTATGTACGTACGTACCAGGAACATACATACGCACATAGCAAATAGCAAATGTTTTAATATCTAATGTTTGTTGCACGCATACATATAATAAAGAATCGCTTACGTTATCCAAAATTTATATAGAAAAAGCGTTCCTAATTTTATATATCGATATGTGAGGAGGCCAGTAAATTTAAACGTTTAACAATATGCTGGTTACACTAGTTGCCATTGGGAATTATCAATAATTACCCTACGAAACTGATATTCTAGTACGTATCGATATCTGATATATATATCGATATACATATTTAGTGTAATAGATCGATTGTTTTATTGGTAAATACGTTAAAGACTACCTACGTACATACGTACATATCAATATGTACGTACGTACGTACATATCAATATGTACGTACGTACGTACGTACTTATTCGGCGAATTACGTACTTATTCGGCGAATTACGTTTTTATTTTACAATGAGTAGGCCAACGCCTAATTTAGTAGGATGTTTGTAAAAAAATTCCTTGTATACGTACTTAAATGTAATTTATATATTTATAATTGTAAAGTTATTCTAAAAAAAAAATTCTCTTGAACTATTACATTCAACAATCAGTGAACGAAAGATTATGTGATATTTGCTCGACACATACTTTCAATCATAAAAATATAAATTACAATTTATAACTATGTAAGGAAAGTGCCAAGATTGCGCCTCAGTTATATTAAGATGTGATGCCTACTAAGGAATTAAAAATAACTACGGAAAGGCATTTATGGTAATTATTCATTTTCGAATAGAACTTAAATTATGACATATATAAGAATGGTTTCCAGATTCAAGATTCACTATCATTATTAAATGTACTCCCAAACAAATATTTGAAGAAAGCATATTTAAAGATATAAATAAAGTTCTTGGTGACTTACGGAGGAAATGAAATGAAGATCTCGAGTAAATCAAGCTCCGTTTGAAATTTTGGTTATAAATATAAATATTCTGGCTATTTTATTATGTCCAAATATGTACAGGTAGTAAGACAGTCAACATTAGTGCTGCGTTTCAAAATTATTAAGTTAGCATCAGTATTTTCAAAGTAATAACGATAAAGATTAATCTAACGTTAATACGTATCAGAAATTTCAGGTATGTACGTATGTACAGTACAGCTTGTTTCAAATAAATCAAGATATTCGTGAACTAACATTAGTAAGAAAACTCTGTGCTATGAATGGTTGCACAGACTCTGACAAACCAGTTTTTTCGATTATTTTTTATAATCGCATTTCGGATAATTTTCTTCATAAGTTAATGAGGTTCCTATTTTCGGTCAAGGTACATTTGTCATACTAAGTAGTGCCAAGTCTTGCCAGATTCTCATCTCATTACCTTTTCTCTCTTTCATTTTAAGGAACTTGAATTTTTGTCCATATTTAATACATGATTTGAAATATTTATTACATTATTTTATATATATATATGTATATATATATATATATATTTTTGATAAAAATTTTTAATTTTATTATATTGTTGAAAAAAAAAGAGAGGCTATTGTTCCAAAATTAATAACAGGAAAAGGCGATGACGATAAAATAAATTAGATTCGGATTTAATACATTTACTAGTAAACCATATATAATAAATATTAGTAGACCAATAAGGGAATCAACGATAATACGCTAATGATAAGATATTATTTGAATAAATATATAGCTACCTCTTATATAGCTACTTTAATAACTGTTTAAATGTACGCAGAGAATAGAGAGACAGAAAAGACTGATGATGATGATGAAAGAGAAACCATTATGACTAGTGATTCACCGATACCTACAAGGTCATCATTTATGCAAAATACAGTAGATTATCTAGAATATCTTGCAGAGCAAGACGAATATGCACCACCACAAGCTCCAAAACATGATCTTGGTCCTTCCGATCATTCAGACCCACCTACCGAATTATCTTCTTCATTTGGCCAATATCCAACATATCCGTCAAATCCTGAGATAATTGAACAATATATATCACAATCTTCATTACCTTTATCTCCTCTAGATGAGGTTCGGAGCAAAATGGTTGATATACAAACAGTTCCTTCACATCAAATAATGATATATTCTCATAACCCACAATTTCAAAATGTTTCTATCGAAATGACTGAGGGTATGACTCATTCTTCTTCTTCGCAACAACGACAAGAAAATTTAGTCCCATCGTCATTAACATTACCAAGTGTAACCATGACGAGAAATCGTTCGAGAATTAAAAACCCAAAAATTGAAAATATGCCACAAATACGTTCAGGTTTCACTGCTCAAATACAAACGAGTAATACTCCTCTTAGGCAAGAATTTAGAGAGAGTGATATTATGTCTCCTACTCATCTTAAACAATTGCAATCACAATCTAGGCATAGTAACATTTCAACGTCGTTTTTAAGGAATAGTGTTAGTAGTAATGATTCGATATTACAAACTGAAGTAAGAGTCGCTCATGGCGACCCCGATGACCCTTTATTAAATAATCAAAATCGTCTCAATAATTCCAAAATTACCACTCGATCTGTTCCTTTTCCCCAACAACTAGTTCCTCACTACCATCATCAATCTCAAAATAATGAAGATGAAGGCCTTACATCTCCTATTTCTCCTGGTGCAATAACAGAAACTCCATTACTTAATTCTGGTAAAAAAAGTTTTACTCCAAAAGGTTTAATTATATGTCTCTGTTTTGGTGTTATTGCTGGAATAATCTTTACTTGTATGTATTATTTCTAAATATTTAAATATTTAATTCCTATATCTAATTTTATTATAATTTGTCATTAACCCCTTTTTTATTCAATTTTATCTTTGAAGTATGGGCTGTAACTACTTTGGTGCCAAATAATGTACCTAAGGCTGGTAACAAAGCTGTAAATGCTAGGGTCAGTATAATTACTTAAATGTCGATCTTTCATCATATTCGTATATATTAATTAATAATTTTTTTCTTCCTTTACTCATTTAGCAACCAATACCAAAGATATGACAGGCTTTAAGGTGTAATTGAATTATGGTTTAATACGAAAAAATTCATTTAAAATTTATATAAAACGTATATAATACACCATACATATTTGTAAAAAGTATTGTAAATTAATTTAAAGATTTGTATTTAATAAAAACTTTATACATAGCAAACTGTAACTTTATGATTAATTACCATGGATTTCTTGTTGATTAAATGTTTAGATACATTACATTGAACCTGACTTTCAACCAACTATTAAAAATTTTCATACAGTACGTACGTACGTACAGTGCATACTTTTAGAATTTCATTACAAAATAAGCTGATCAACTTTTTTGAAAAAAGATTACATGCATGTAAATGCAATATTTGCTAATAGAAGGGTTCTCTATATTTGTTTCAAATATTGATGCTGCATGTTATTTTGGGTTGATTTATCGTTATACTAAATTAATGAATGGCTTCAAATATACCGTATTTCGCGGTCTAAACCATCCCCCTGTTTAGAAATTCGTTTTTTTTTTATCGGACATTTTTAATTTTGGCTGTTATCAATACGGTATTAGCGTGGATTAAATAAAATATAATCCGTAAAATTTCCACTATTCTTAATATTAGACCGTTCAGTACAAAGCTGTGGAAATTTACAGGGGAGTGGTTTAGACCGAGAAATACGGTAATAATGAAAGAACACAGACAGATTTGGAAATAAAGAATGATTATGTACGTACAATGCTTCTATTGCCTGATAATTGCATATATATATATATATATATAAGTATTTTTATATTAGTATATATTAAATTTTACAGAGTACAACTTACTCTCATTGATACATATTAACCTGTCGGATATTTTAGATAACTGGATTAACTTACATGATTTTTTTTTTTTTTTTTAGAAACATTAATAAGTGTTAATATTAGGAGCGGCAAACAAACTTTATTTAATGACTTATCATTAAATACTGTATATACAGTATATCGATATGTTGTGCTCCAAATTGTCCTGGATGTAATTTTGAAATATAACTACTAATTCTATCCAATTTGGCTAATATAATTAGAATTAAAGTGAATGAGATTCTATTTATAAGATCTAAATACTACTAATAGTTCTGTCGAAAAGCACAATTTATTATTTTTAAATTGTACATCTATTTTTGATAAAATAAACAAACCTTCTATTTAAGCTGCATATATAAATAAAATTGATTTTTATAGCCGGTAGGGCGATATTTTTATAAAAAAGTAAAATTATATATATATATATATATTATATATATAAAGTATATATATATTATATATATAAGTATATATATAATATTGGTGATTAAGTTTGATTTGCTGATATAACGATATATTATTACCCCGAGTAACATTTTAAAGAATTAGGGTAGCTGTGCGACATAGTCACATTTAAACCAGGAACGATTTTTAGTTTTAGTTCTAATATTTTATTTCATAATAAATTATAATACTGTATAATGTTTAGACAGATTCATTACGGCGCGTTAGCGAAATTAAGCAAACAAATGGTCACCAAATCCAATCATTTGGTCCCAAATTTAAATTTTGGTTACCAAATTATATATTAAAACAATCAATGTTAAACCCTGAAAAAATCTTTTCGGACCTCTGATCTGTACTGATAACGATTCTAACCCATCTTCCTCACATGCTAACCATCTTTCCACTCCCAACGCAGGAATTTATTAAATGACGCATCATAACTTGGGGAATGTTGACTATCTCAGTCAAAATCTATATTTACATATTAATAGTCAAAATTTTCAAATTTTTTGGGTAGTTTACAAATGTTCTTATGAAGTGTTCAATCGATTCTTATCCACAGTAGAAAATTGAATCATAGGAATTTTTCTAAAAATGTAACTTATAAAACTATGTACGCATACGTAATATTTTATTACCGTAACTAACGTAAGGGAGGGTAGGGTATTATGACGCAGGTGGGTATTGTGACGCACTCATGTTTTTTGACGATAGATTGATTAGAATCGAGACGAATCGAATGATATGAAATTCGTTTTATTTGAAGCTCTAGTATTCGAGTAACAACTAATAAACATAATATATTTGGCACCGACTCATAAAAATCTGATCCGACCTGACCAATCAAGTTAGAACGTACATACTGGTGCAATTATTAATCAATTTTATGTACATACTGTGACGACGGATATTGTGATACCGAAGATCGTGACCGATCACGTGAAAAATGCACGAAATGCAATAAATGCAATAAGTGCAATAAATGTAATAAGTGT